CAAAATGGAAATACCGATAAGACTGCAAATAAATCGGAAAAACCAGTTCATTAAAAAGTCATAGTGCGACGGTGAACAAATCGAAGGCATTTGATGAACATAGGAAGCATCATAAAAGAACAATTACACGGAAAAAGAAGAGAATCATCGGTGTAGTCCAGATCTCTCGGGGAGGCCACAGGCCGTTTGCGCGCACTACCCATGGAGTGATTGGGCATTATCCTCTGCAATATAACCGACACTCACAATGTCTACACGGAATGTGCAGTTCAGGTCGTCTAGGCGGATTCCATCTTCATGATCCAAAAGAATATATATCAATAGCGAAACATATATAGGACCTCTTGCGATACACAATAGCTATACATTTATGGATCAGTCGTATAATGGGAAGAACATATAACAGAAGGACGAAAAGAGCTACGGACTTGTTCTCGGATGAAACACACAACGGTCTTCACTGATGACCACCTAAACGATAATTGGATGTGTTTATGGCTTACGTCAACTATCAACATTCCCAAATGGAAGCGATTTATAGGTTGCGGCTGAGTGTGCCTCATGGACGTCACATCGTGGAAGCAAGTTGCTACCATAGACAACAGTTGTGCGAGAAAGAAACGATTGGTAGATTTTCTGGGTCTTACGGTACTCGCGAAGACCATCCAAATGTCCAAAGAGGTAACGTCTCGATGGTCCACTGTCGCATCGTGTGTAAGGATTTTCATGAATTTCAAACGACACTATGTTGTAGGAGAAGATTTATCCCATAAGTAGTAGAGCCGATGAAGAGTTTAATATTTCACTTCTGCAGCTTGTTTTAAAAGCCTTAGAATCCGAGCTATTCTTAGCTACATTATCACCAGAAACGTAAAGAGGACTTCGGACGAGAAGGTATAACGTTCTTCATTCGTAACGTCTTGAAGGTTCACTGTCACATCGTGGATAGGGAATTTCATGGATTTCAAACGACAGTATCTTGCAGGAATAGACTTATTCCACAAGTAGTAGAGCCGATAAGGAGTTTAATGTTTTCATTGGGGGATTGCCTTAGAAGTCTTAGAATTCGAGCTATTCGTAGCTACGTAGCTCTTTATGTTATCACCAGAAACGTAAAGAGCAGTTTGGACGAGAAACTGTAATGTTCTTCATTCGCACTGAACATGTGAAGAACATCGACTAGTGTGCAACATGAGTTAATGGAAATTCTAACCCCAGCTTCTCATTTGTCAGTAGGAGTACATTCGATATAGTGTGATAGTTGGAAAGTTCTGAATGATTTCCACTTCGTACAGTGACGCGTTCACCACGGATTTACTTGTCCTCTTCTTATTCTAGTCGAAACGACTTCTTTCGAGCCTAATTTGAAATGTTTAGCTTTTCGTCCTCGTGGTGATGGTGTGAATGAATGATAGACAGACAGCGATGTGATGTTTTCCGTGCGCTACAATGTCGATTATGTTCGTACGACATGCATTCTCAATTTTCGACTGTTTCGCTCGAGCGTTCGGCCCGTTACTATGTTGCTAAAAAGTGCAACTAGTACGTTCCTCTTGCTGTTCACCAATTTTTCTCCTGCAGTGAGTTGACTTTCCTTTCTTCCGTCAAAAATCCTCTGAGATCTTTTTTATTCTTCCCGTAGATCCGCTTTGTCTCATTTAGAACAAGCCTACCTACCTGAAATACAGACATATTCGTTGGTACGATACCGCATAATGGGCTCACCAAGCATTCCATCCTTCTGGGATTGAAAAATTGGTACCAGACTTGTCTGGGAAGATATCAGTACTGACGCAATAAATCGCTAGATTACCGCAAGTCACTGTAGAAGTTAGATATGCATCCATTCAACTCTAATGATATGTGGTGAAGTCTAGTGCATGGCGCATCCCTCAGGGACTGACCAACGCCGAGTTCTTTGTCTTTATCCCTCTATCACTACTGCGTTTGAGCACACCACCAGTTCTTTCCTTTCTCACCGTCTATCCTAAGGTGACGTCCAAGCGTTCTTTTTTACTTCTAGATTTGAGAAAGTAGTTTCGTCTTCGGAAACAGTCTTAATGAAGTAACTAGAACTCCTTGTCACTAATTGAGGGTTGCAGTTTCTGAATCATATCTTCCTAAACATTTTACTTGTTTTGAGGCAGTAATATTCTAGTAGAATTTCATTATGATCTGTCTATTAGGACATTTTTTCTTCCTGTGGAGTTACTGCGAACGAGATATAAAAAGTTGAACATCTGGTTTCAACGCTTTTGTAGAATTTAGGCGAGCTTTTTAAACGTAAGAGTAAAACGCAGAATGGTGAAAAAAGCTGAACGTTTGGTTTCCTCGTAACATTCAAATCACAGTTCTTGCCTTTTCATTCACGCTATTTCATGGATTAAAGCTATGCATAAAAATAATGTCGTTTGCTGTGTACCAATTGAATTCATAGTTGAATTCATGACTGAGTGAGTCATAGCTTAAATGCCTTCAACCTATTCCCCCAAAAAGGTGGAACACTTTTCTCTCATAGAAAATGAATCATCACCGTTGTCATCAGCAGCATGATAATTGACATTGGAAGTGTCTATCATGGCATTTGCGACGCGACATCGTCCTAATCGGAACTCCGGATTTTTCCGTCTCACCTGCGTTTTACTAGTCCCTGCGAACTTCATCTTTTCGATGGATCGTTCCCTCCAGCATGAAGTTTATCCCTCCTCCGTTATGTGAGGATTTTAAGGTTTTCTATGTTAAGCTTTAACCTAAACAGGTGGAACCACAGAGTCGAGAAATTGATCGCAGATCTCTGTATTTTCCTCTTCCATGTTCTGATACGTTCACGAAGCTACTCATTATCTCCAGTTCTATATCTGAGTGCTAAACTGCGTTGGCTTTCCGACATAGACATGCATAACACGATTAATTCTATCCCAGGAGTCTTTCAACAGCGCTCGAGCTTTTGGTTGCCAATTATTGTTGTAAGGTGTTGCATTAGTTGATCTTATTCCTCATCAATATGATGTCGATGACTTCACGTCGTGTAAGAATGCGCCATAAAGCTCTTTCTACAGTTCGTACTTACTACTCTTGTATAAGCATTTGATGCCTTCCGTCAACGTAACCGTTTGTGTTAGAATAGTCCTCACGAAGCAATTTTACCTGAATTGGGATTTTTCACAAATTTTCAAATTTCTGATGTTGCTCCCAAGCACTCTCTATCTCCCCTTTTTCATGGCTTCTTCCATGTCACAAATTTGTTTGGTATTCCGTGTTTTCTGCTCTATTGTTCATTATCGTATGTACACACTCCACATCCCAGGAAGTAGACCGTTCTGCTAACCGCTTGTAGATCTAGCAATCGACTGATTCTGCGCTTTACCATAAGTGATTTTCGCATACTGCGTCAGCCTGTTAGTGGTACTAGTTGCTTTTCTGATCCATCCTTGGAAACAGACAACTCTTTCGCATATAACACCTTACTTACCCTTGCAAAAAACGTGAATTTCCTCCAAGAACTCTTCGGCAGCATCGTTTGTTCGTCGTTGCAGTCGAGTACATGTTTTGCTGATCTTTTCACAATTTTGTACTGTTATTACTATTTCTAGGAGCCGGGTAGCGCGGTTGTAGTGATACCATTCATTGAAAGGAAGGCGCGATCAATCTAAGTGCTTGTTCTACACCATCCCAGGTCCACCAAACGTTCTCCATCTCTTTCAAATTGGGAAATTAGTGCTAGACTTGCTTGGGAACAGTTTCCTTCCTCAAATTCACGTGGCAGCACTCTAGCACGGCTATCTTAGGTTTCTAGGGTGAATCAACTCTACCAGCATTCAACCAAAATCATGAAGAAGAATTTGTAGTGAAGACGAAAATTCTTAAGCAGCAACCGAGTACACATGCATAGAATTTCGAAGACTTTCTCAAAACTTTGGTATAGAAGTGAAAGATACAGGATAAAGCGTTGGGTTTTAATCAATTTCTGATGCCATCCTACCGATGGATCAAGTATCAGTTAAACAACACATTCATTTTTACATCAAGTCAGTGCTTTTGTGCTTTCACACAGGTCTAGTTCCCATTTACCGACTCAGAAAGAATGGAGGGCGTTCTGAACCCGTGGCCCGAGATCGAACCGATGACTACGTTTACATTGCACACTACTTTCTTACCTCTGCGCGTCGCTGAAGTAGAAATATTACAGTGCTACGCGCCTCGAACGTTAACATTTCCACATGAATTCTATCATCAAATTTGTTTAACTCCTTCATCTCAATAGTGGCTCAACATCGTCGTTCCATTCACGGTCATCAATCGATGCGACCATTTGTTTACTATTTCAATACTTCAACCATGTATTGAAATGCTTTCATAAGTAACTCCCACGACCGACTTTCTATTAACCTCGGCATTGATCAAGTAATTCTTCGTATTTTTGTTGAGCAAACGCGAGGTGTTATTATTCTTTATTCATGAATAAGCTGACTACACGACGTATGAGGACTACCAGAGGACAGTCACCGAGTATTGGACTTCGAATTGCGAATACTACGCACCTGTCTACGAAGCCGACAAAACCGGATGTTCGCCAAGTGGAAGAAGTGCGAGACCAAGGAAAACTTTTGTGCTCAATATTTGGAGGACCGCCTCTGGAGGAGAATAGTGGGCAGGCTCTGAGGAAGGCGAAATCCGCAGAAACGTCAGCTTATTCGTGAATAAAGAATAATAACACCTCGCGCTTGCTCAACAAAAATACGAAGAATTGCTTTTAAGCATATAAGCATATATGAAGCAGAGCAAAAAACTGTTATCGTCACGTTTGAGCTCTTTTTTGCTTAAGGTTATCAAACTCTTTCAAATGTTCATAAATTTTGTAATTGTATTCCCTCACCGCTCTATATTGCTACGCGTTTCATAAATGACATAATCTGCTCTTTAGTTTTATGCATTGTAAAGTGTGTAGATGGTTTCAACTGTGATGTAATGCCACCTATACTTCCAGATCGTTGCAGCCGATGCGGTGTTGCTCTGCATTGTATGTAGTTTTCTTTTACATTGAAGTCATCGACGGAATTAGATGTTACTCCGGTTTGAAGTATATTGTCGGGCAGGACGAATACCAAGACTCAGGTGTGCTTTAGAGAGGTTCAGAAGATTTGTAAAGTTACAAGTGGGCGCCAGTATACTTCTTTTGTCTGCTATTGCACTTAACGACCATGGCACTTTTGTCTAATGAATTACAAATTTGATAGCACATTGGAGGCGTGTCGCTTCTTGCATTGTCTTTGATGAACCGTCCGACTAACAGTAGGAATTGCTACCATTCTGGAAAAATTCGGATCAGAAGGCTTTCAACCCAGAGCGGTCGACGTGAGTCACTGTTCTGAGGACCAGGAAGTGTCTCAGCCCTGCAGTCATACACGTTCCAGGAAACCCTGCGCTCAAATGGAATTCAATATGAAAACTTAAGAAAAAACCAAATATTCTTAATTATCAGCACAGTTCGTAAAGAACCCGAATCTCTTTCAGGAGTACCATTGGCAAAAGAACGAACACAACGAATAGAAGATTGCGCATGTCTATATATTAAATGAGAAGTGACCTCATAAGCAAGCAAAGCAAAGTATCGTGGGCAGTAATGCAATGCAGTGAGGAGACATCGCTTGTAGTACGCAGACTCCTGCTCTAGTATTAGCTCAAAGTGTGCCAATCGCTCTACCTCTTCGAATGGATTACATCGAAAAGAACATTTACTAAGTGGAACACCACATTTGGACGTACCTCGCATAAATGCAGACGTTTATTTTTCTTCACTTATCTAACTTAAATAGTTTTTCACCTGTATCACCTGTAGTCCTGTTGACGATCGAGTGACTCGAGCGGGCGCCAGTAGATTTTCATTTTTCCTCGTCGCGTGCAAGAGCAGCTGGGTGGATTCTGCTCGCTTTTGGGACTCGTCGAGCATTATATCTTTCTTCTGCGCTTTTCGTGAAGAACTCTGACCATCGGGTCGGTGGTGTTCCTGCAGTGCGTTTAATATCCCAAGGAATCCAGTCACTAACGGCTCTTGTCCATCGGTTGTCGTTCATACGCATTACGTGTCCGGCCCAACTTATCTTCGACTGTTTGGCGTACAGAACGGTACCTTTGATTCTCGACCGTTGACTCAGGTCGGCGCTTCGGGGCACTCCCTTACTTATGTGAACGAGGCCCATTTCTTTTACTGTTTCTAGCTTTTTGATACCCACGTATAGCTTGCTAGGCTCTGAAAGTGGGGCTAGGTATACTCACGGGTGCTTTGCCAGTCTCTTCCGGAGTGGAAATGGAGCTTATTTGCTAGAGGCGACTTCTAACTAACCACCACCCATCTACTTCCCTGTCGCTTGATTGCAGGCTTTTGGGCGAATTGACTCGCAGAACACAATCTGCATAAATTGGGACGCACCCACACACGCATACATCGATGCGCTTGGTAAGTACAGAAAGTATGTGCCAAATTGGCGGAGCAGAAACATGGAGTCCATCCCCCGGATCCACCTGCGTCTCAGGGAAGCCGAGGTCGCTTTTGATCCGCAATTAACCTCCTATCTGCTACCTGTGGACGCGCCACGTAGCCTCACGACTAACCGGCTCGAAATCCCTCATGAGGGAGATCCGTGGTAATAGTTTCTATTCCACTTAATTTCTGGGTTTTTCTTAGCTTGCTATTTGGTAGCTCATCTGGACTGTGCAGTGTTAGAAATGGTCCCGAGAAGGAAATAGTTGAAGTGTGCGAAGTTGACTGAGCTGCAAATTTTGTTCTCGTTATTTAATAACTACAAATACTTATTTACTTGGATACTCGGATATCCCGTTTTTATTGACTGTGCAGGCCCCAGCATAGTTTCCACTTTTTCCGAGTTTTGCTGGTTTATCCATTGTGGTTCCCTGTAGTCCCGAGGACAACCTGGTCAAAGTCTGCCGCAGGTCACCACCACAACCAGTCGTCGCTATTGCCGTTCAGAAGGAGACTTGCCATAGCTAAAAATAGATCAGACAAGGAATAGAATGTATTTCTATTGAAGGAAAGTCAGATAACCTGAATAGGAGTCTGGTTTTAGAGGAATGCAATGTGTTTCTCGGATTGGGCGAGTCGTATTGCTACACATTTCGTGAACACATGAGTCTCAACGATATTGTGAAGTTGGGCTGCTCGAGCATGTTCTGCAATGTAAATTTTTTCTCTTATTTTTTTCCCATTTTCAATGATTGTATTGATTTCATGGATCAGGTTCAGTAGGTAAATGTATTTCACTGGTGAAATAGAGCAAAGCACTCTATGAGAAATAACTATTACTTTAGACCTGTGTATAATAGAATAACGAAATGATGAGAGCATAATTGGAACTTGAGGTAGGAGTTGTACTTTCCGTCTTTATCGATTATCTTTATGCGTTCTAATTCTTCACTCTCCCAAAACTTTTTCTTTAACATTTTCCTCTTTACTTTTTGAACTTCAACGGAAGAAAAAACATTTCATTTTCAAAAACGAAAAAAAGAAGACTCTGAAGCAAGCAAAACGTCAGATGTTTTGACTAGATGGTGTTACGGAAACCATGTATCAACTGGCCAAGAAAACATTTACTGAACATTGCCAAGGTGAACGGAAAGTTGGTCTTGAAAATTGGGCAATTGATTTTGGTGGATTCTGCACTTGCATGAGAAAATTTTAGAAAGTTCAACATTCCTCTTTAATGTTTGAAAGAATTCGTCTTCAAAGTTTCAAATAGAAATAATGCTTTGGACAAATTACACATAGTCTTAACGAGATTGAACAAACTTTATTCTATACTTACTTGCTTGGATACTTGGATGGTCCGTCCTCACTGGTTGTGAGAGCCCCAGCATAATCTCTATTTTTTTGGAGTTTTGCTTTTGCTGGTTTAGCCATTGTGGTTCCCTGGAGTCCAGAGGTCAACCAGGCGAAAGCCTACCCCAGATCATCACCACCAGAGGCACTCTTGTACATCTGAGAGAGATTTGCCACCATGCGACTAGTTTGATACCAGGACGGTGGTGGATCCACGTATTGGTTTACTCTTAGCTATGCTTCCTGATGGAAACCCCGGGGTCCTTCTCAGTTCGGGAGACCCTGCTTGGGAATGAATCCTCACTCTGTACATCGCATCCCGACACAACACCTCCTAGCAACGGTAAGGCGGTAAACTGTTGTGAGGAACTACGTTCTATAAGTCTTTCGAACTTTCAACTCCTAAAGAACTCTAGTTGACGAATGATTGTGTTACTCTGGAAAAACCACCACTGTCATGAATGTCATAGGTGTCGTAAGATCTGCTTTGTAGTAAAAAATGATGCACTGTCTTCTTTATTTTAGGTTTTCTGATTTGTTAGATTTAAAATCGATGGAAAATAATTTTTTTTAAAGTAAGTTCAATTTATGAAAACTTGAAAGGATGTTTTCTTCAAACAGCACTTAAATTGTGATTTCACTCGGTGAGGATCAAAACATCATTTCTTTAAAGAAAGTAGTGGTAGTACTGCTGTAGGCACTTCGGAACACCTGCATGAACACCGACTTCGCCGGAATGACGGGGACGTTGTGCTGCTGCAACGATCGCCACTACTGCAATTCGTCCAGTAGGGAAACTCGTCTCGTCCCATTGGTGATTCCTCTGCTTCTACTTCACGCCGTATATGTTCAAATCATAGATAGCTGAACATTTCTACCAATCACAAATTTATATGAGATCGACCATAAGAGATCGATTTTATTTGGACCTGATAATTAGTGTACAAGGTTGGTATGCATGAGAATCTGCTAGATACTATGTGATGCTTCTAAGTTAGGGTCTTTTCAAATATGATTATTTCTCGCATTACTTCATCCTCATTCTAAAGCTGAAATCCACGAAATTTGTGGTAATTCACTAGCTGGGAGGCGTGTGAAACGAAAGGCCCGCATAGTATGGTTGCGAATGCGTTACTCCCCGGAAAGGACGATAGCGCGCTCGTTCCTCATCGGAAACACCTGCGGTCTGGAGTCTTGCAAATATCTCAGCATCATTTTGGCTATAATTCACAGCTTCAAAGTCTACTAAAACGCTCAGATTCGTCGTCCTAACTTGGTATGCATGGGTTGCAGCACTTCATAAACTCGGGTTGTTTTTTGCAGCCGTTCTAGATGGGATCGGATTCCTGCGTCAATTTGGCTTAAGCTTCGCGATTTACGGTCCTTTATCATTATGCTGATGTGTTGAATTTATTCTATACTGATTTTCCATAGAATTCTAAGATAGCCATAATTTTTCCAACATTCTCAACTCTCCAAGATAGCCATCCGATTTAAATGGTGGGGAATTTGCTATCCTGCGATTAGGAATTTCCTAGGACACCAAAAATTTCTGACGTTGCGGCTACTGCGACCAGTCGACCGATCAATCGAGGACAGCGTAACGTACTTAACCCATGCTAAAAGGAATACTATAAGGTTTTACATAGTCCAGCGAATCAGTGACGGTAGCAACGAGGTGAGAAAACGGCAGCCAGACAAACGGCTATCGAAGATTGCACCGTTTTCATTCGGACAATGTATTTCTAGTACATTTTCGTACTTACCAACCTAATAATCGCATCATTGTCACACACTTGCCGGTTACCGAAGTGCTTTTGTTGACCATTGTCTGTGAATTTTGTGGTCCCTTACTTGTAGTGTTTAATAAAAAAGTTGGATGTAAAACGTTTAGCGTCGACCACTTCTTTAAAGATAGCACGTTCAACTACACCGAACGTCACAGAAGTGATCTAATGCATAATTCGCTCATACAGTAACCTGTAGGAGCGTACCGATGTATCAGTCTTTGCTTTTATCCTTCCAGAAAAGTTTGATACGAACGTGTCGATCCCAGAAAGGTGAAGGGTTTGATTAATCTGGAGCGCATGGGTGAACCAAAAATCCTGTTTACATTGCACCGCTTGTTTAACTACTACACTACACACACTCAATATTCAGTAAAATAATAAATGGGAACCTTATCAGGAGTTTCAATTTTTGATAATAGATAATAGGGAGCAGGTAGCGCAGTAGTAGGCATCCCGTTTATTAAGCAGACGGCTTAACCTAATCAGGCTGTGGTTCGACGCCGCTTTGTGCCGACCAAGCCTCTCATTTTCCGGTGCCGGGACGTTGGTATCAGACTTTTCTTGGACAAGATGATGATCTTCAATCCATGTCGGAGCAACCCAGTATGGCTATCTCAAGATTCCAGGAAGCACTGCCTCGAGCATCATTCAACAGCATTTATGATGAAACGAAAATCCTCAGTCAAGAGCAGACGAACCCACATGCAAAGGTTCGAAAACCATAGTAGATGATGGATGCGAGGAATCGAATCGAATGCAAGATGTGCTGGGATTCGAGCAGTACATATGACGCCAGATTGTGTAAAAAAAGAACTGAGGACTTTATTCTGTACATTAAAAAGTGAACAAATTAAATTTATTGCACATCTTTACAAAACACAGAATGGAGCAACATTTGTCAAAATTGGTGAAATAAAAATAATGACACGAATTGAATTAAAAGCGTACATGCAAGTGATACATAGATCTTTTCCGAGGCTTGGAAAATGGTCGTGGTCAAAAAACACTTCAGGACGGATTTAAAGCAGGATGATTTGATTCTACCGGATTGTAATGCTTTAAATCAATGCATCAAATTGATGCGAAAACTTACAAGATTGTGAATGGGAGACATAGTACAAAAGGTGCGTACTGATCAAATCGTTAGTGGGATCAATGCCGTCGGCTTACACACCGTTGTGACGTAGACAGAGTTAACCAAAGCGTTTAATGGTTCGGCTATGGTAATGCAAAGAATGAAGCAGAACCCGATTTCTGATTTATCACGGAGCTGGGAAAAACTAAGGTTTTCTACTTTCAGCAAAACTGCAATCATATAGAAGATTCTGAGGAGATTTTTCCATTGCTAGAACAATAGGATTTTTATTTTTCTGGTAATCGAGCATATGTTAGGCAGCAAGGAATAAAAGAAAGCTTGTTATAATAACAGGGATCTATACACCACTCGTCAAATATGTATTCTGCTGAGGTTATGAACAATCTCACTTGTAGTTCAGTAAAGCTGTTTACGCCCAGTACATCCCCTGACTCTTACGTAAGGAGTGATTGCGCAACTCGTCTGTGAGCTCTTCGCAATTCTTAGGGATTTTTCCTGGCAAATATTGCTTTGGATGACCGACTGCTTCCAATAATGAGAATTGGTGAAACACTTGAAGCAGAAAAAATCGATAGCACTCTGACATTTTATCTGATTAAATGATTCCGCCATTTCTGTGACAGGGTCATGAGGTAAGTGCACCGACTTGGTAGGAAGACTTTAGTGAACCTTAGTCTGCTGTGGTGAAAGAACACTGATCCGTGATTATCTAGAACGGATTACACTGACATGCCTCTCATAAGAGATTTGCACAGGGTGCCATAACTTTACCAAAGACTTCCTAGAAAAAGTTATAAGGCAATGGTACATAACCGTTCTGAATGAAAATTCTTGTAGTCAAAACGATTTCAAGTGAGTGAAATTTTAACAAGGGTACTTTTGAGACATTCTGAGCCTGCTGAACGAATTCGACCGAGATCGGGTTAAACGACTTCACTACGGCTTGGCCTGGTCACGAGCGGCAGGTCGCTGTTGAAGCTAGTGTCGGGTGTGTCGTTGAGATGCACGGGTGGCGACATTGCCTTCCGCATCGATGACTCTGGAAAAGAAAAGTTTTGACGATGTCGTTATAAACGCGGAGGTTTTAGTGGAAAGAATTAGTGCCGAAAATACAGCTACATGCGGATTTCAGTTTTCCAGCTTAGGTTGTTTCTTACCAATTAATGTGTTATGTAGTCTTTAGACAGATTAGGACCTTCAGCAAGAAAGATTCCGGTGCAGGTTCACATACATTCAGGAATAAATTGTGCAGTTTGTGTATACTATTGTATGAGTTTTAGGATGTATTTGCTTTCATTCAAGAAAAATGATCTCTAAAGCAAACGAACACAAGATGAGCGCTGTGTGGATTGTCTTATTTACTTCGATAATTCGCTAGACCGTCCTCATTGGCTGCGCGGGCTCCAGTATAATTTCTACTTTTTCCGAGTTTTGCTGGTTAAGCCATTGTGGTTCCCTGGAATACCGAGGTCAGCCTGGCCAATGTATGCTCCAGGTCTTCACCACCACGGGCAGTCGCAGCCCTTGTGGATCAGAGGCAGATTTGCCACTACGCGACTTTGATATCGAGACGATGGCGTATCCTGGTATTCATTTACTCTTAGCTAGGCTTCCTAGTGGAGACGTCGGCTTCTTTCTCAGTTTGGGAGACCCTGCCAGAGGAATGGATCTCCCCGCTGTACATCGCAGCCCGACACCCAGGAACACCTCCTAGCCACTATGAGACGGTAAACCGCTGGGAGGTCTTGATTGTCGCTTGGGTTAATTAGGTCACACAAAGAAAACCACTCCACTGTTTTCTGTTTAGTTTCATAAGGCTTAGACATTTCTATAGAAGTGAAATTTTTGATGAGAAATGTTAATAATTGTCTCTACGCTTCAAATACTAACAATTAAATAAGTTTATTTAAGTGGATAAATTTTTGTGGATTGTAAGCAGTTAGTTATCATGGTGAAGGAGTGCCGTTAGACATTCTGCATTGTGAAAAACACAAAGCCCAAAGTCGACCTTTCCGCAATGGTTTGCTTTCTATCGATAACTTTTTTAGAGTAACATTCTAATTTTAGCTGTGTTTAGAAATAGAGTTTTCAAAAACCATGAACAAAATCTAAACCGTTCAAATCTCCAACGCAAGAGTGACAGCTACGGATATATAGGATACTATGTAGAACACCACTGTGTCCTGCTAGACGAAATCCCGAATGCTGAGTTGTTTTCGTGTTCGAAATATAAGTCTTAACACAAAAATGTGGAGAAATTCTATGTCATGGGCACTAGGAAATCAGAATTTCATCTTGGTAGGACAAAATGACTATGATTTTATAACGAATAATCTGCGGATTCAAATGGTTCAGTGCATCTCGGACGTAATGTGTTGGAAGACCAATGGCGCTGAGCTGATAATAAAATGTCTTACCATCAAACAGTAGTGGACCAGGGCGATGTGCCTGAACGAATATCTTAAGAAAAACGTCACAGAAATGACAAACCAAAAATGGGTCACAGACAACCCCAAAGTTTCTGACATTAAAATTGGGACCTGCCGATGTATGAAACTGCTTTAGGAAATCTTTAAACGTGTTGTAAGCTTTCATACATCCAGAAAGACTTCATAGGAAAAGCACTCAGAATCATAGCGGTTCCTAAGGACTTTGGAAAACTATTCTAGAAAAAACTAGCTTGATAACACAAAGAACAAAAAGGGATCATTGTCCACCTCTGTAATCACCGCTCTTGTAAAATACTACAAAACAAAACCGGTTATTTGTATTGATATAAGGGTCTATTTAAAAATATAAAAATGTGCTTGCAAAGTCGAAGAACTTCGAGTTTAGTGAGCTACAAAGGCCATTCGAAACTTTTGAGAAGATGTTAAGAAACCGATATTTAAAATTTAATGCAGTAACCACCCTTGGCGCGTGTGCTGCAGTGGTTGGAGGCGCCACTGTGACACACATGGAATCGATCCACGCGCCCATGACCCACCAAGCATTTCATCCCTCCGGGGTCGGCAAATTGGTACCAGACTTGTCTGAGAGGATAGCAGCACTTACTCGATGCATCGGTAGGCCACCGCGAGTTATTGTAAAGGCCAGATATGCATTCAATCACCTTCAACGATACTTAATGAAGTCGAATGCATAGCGCATCCCTCAGGGATTGATCAACGCTGAGAGCTTTATACTTTTTTATCCTTTTAACCATCCTTGGAGCAATATTATTAAGCATAAATAAAACGGAAAAACGTGTAAACAGAACGAGAACATGTAGAAATGATCTGTCAAGAGACTTTTAATGTAATAAAAGTTATCAACCTTAATAAATACTTCCTTAGGATCAAAAATTGAATTATATAGCTAAGAACACTTTCATTCAGTTGTTTTTCAATAATGTACTCACTTGCAGGTCGAGCATCAAGACTGGGAGGTTGGGAGCGTGGAAGAGCCGTCGGTTGATCGGCTCGGTAGGATGCGGACAAAAGTGGACGAGTTGACGCAGGCCCACCATTCCTGTCGAAAATCGTCGCTTCCTTCTCAGTAAGTTTCTGGCGACGACGGCTGAGAAGGTACAGATGTCTTCTGAGACTTACAATTTATGAATAATTCTAAGACTTACAGTATGCAGACGGTAACTAGTGCCAATATAAAAAGTATGAAGAAGATCATAGAGATAATTGAGAGGACAATGGTAGCTGTACGGTAGCCATTGTCCACTACTCCCTAGAAACAACCGAATCAATGCTCTTTTTTGTTCCGACATTGGAGAAGTGAATGATGTACTCAAATCTACAGATTCATCAAATGCAAGATCAATAGCTCCTGTTGAAGAATGGTAAGTGGTAAATCTGGAAAGAGAATTTGGCTCAGTACATTAAAATTCTATGAGAATTAATCGATGTGCCTACTTAAAAACTTCCAGAATGTTTCTGGATTCTTGATAAGTTGGGATGGAATTGTTTGAGCGCCGTTTTTTTTTGGTATGGTATCGCTATAGTATGGCAGCCTTTTGTGGTGACAGGGTAGCCTAACAAGTGATTTCGAACCTCTATGGAACTTCTATGTGGTTCGAAAAAATCTATGGAAAAAATAAAAGTTCTGAGGAAGTGGAATCTACAGAAGTGCTAGTTATAACGAAGTAAGCACTGTGTGGACTCTTATCAAGAGCACAATAACTTGTTTATCTATTCCGAGGTTAACTGAAAATCGCTTTTGGGATCTTCGAGAAAAATTCGAATAACTCACTGCATGGTATGGGTCAAGAACGCCGCCTTCCTCGTCCTGACAGTAGGTGCTCTCCTTTATACCCCATGGACAGCTTTTGCAGTTATCCACCTGTAGTAAACGAAAGTTTTTCAGGCGGGAAATGGATACTTATCTCCTGACATCTTTGCATTTGTAACCTAATATCAACATGTCTGATTGATGCTTCAAAGAAACCTGTCCTCCAGATTGAAAGATGCAAACGTAGAAAAATCCGGTGGCATTTGAACGACAAGACGCTGTGTTAAGACTGATTGGCGACTGCGAGCAAGTGAGATCGCAGTTAGGTCCGATCAGTGAACCGGTGCACGAAATAGAATACGATAGGTAGAGCCTGGAATGTAGTAACGAATAAAACGAAGATAAGTCTAACAACAGCTGTAGAAGATGAAATTTCAGTGTAAACATCTTTTAAAAGAACAGAAGTTGAGAACAACTAGTGAATGTTCTAGACTCGATTTTCATTTGATTTGAATAATAAAGCATTTTAGCATATTAGACACCTGGAGATATTATAGCACCACCACTCCCATTGATTGGGAATTCTTATTGAAGTTTCCTTTGCCGTCGGTATTATCTTTTCGAGGAATAATATCAGTGAAGAGAAGACTGTGCTTACAGAGGTAAACAAAGCAAGGAAAGGATAGGAATGCAAATGTATTGGTAGAAAGCGCAAGCAACAAAATTCTCTTCAGCAATAAAAAACGACTTAAAGGATGAACGCTCAGAAAAGGGAGAACAACGCAGGCCGATTTGAACCTCACAGAGAAGCTATCGATCCACCGATGGACCCAAAACCCGGGCTCTCCTTTTTAAGTCAGCTGTTCTCTGTTTTAAAAAGGAGACGTAGGTAGGAGCCTCAACCAAGTCGAATATTTCACATAGACCTGACGGACATTTTAAATGCCTCGCCTTAAGATCTAAGGAGGCCTATGTCGCAGAAAACATGTATAAGTAGGTCTGTAACACATCAGCACCGTGAGCGACGATTTCAAGGAAACTAAACAATCATGCTGAGGTCGACCTCACTCATGAAAACATATAAGTGTGCAGGGATGAGTGGAATCTCATTAGGTTTTCTTAAGCGTTAGTGGAAATCGAGGATTGAATAGCACTATGGAAATGATGTCAGGTACCATACATTAAACCGAGTAAGGCGTATATGCGCGAAATATGAGACACCTGGAGATATTATAGTTTAAGGAATAAATAAAATTTGCTTCAGTAGTCTCGTATGAATGGGTATTGAAATGTCAAGTTCCATCATAAGCGTAGTCTGTCTTTTTTATCTTACTGTTCCGAAAGCAATGAGAGCGTACGTTGTTCCCAGCAATTTTCCTTGGTAGGCGTGTTGCTGGCTCATACTCTGCACGCCACCGACGGCTGGTAGGGCATCCGAGAGCGGCACGACGAAGGTGTCGACGTGTGTCAGCGTGTCCACGGAGACCAACGAACCGTCAGCCTGATTGATCACCGCACCCAGATGGTGAACAAAGATGTCGATTGCTGACTAAATGCATATCACGTTAAAAACATAGAAGCTGCGCATTTGTGGGTTCCTACATTTTAACCTTGTTCCAGCTCCTGGAATTACAATAGCACAAAAACATAAGCAGAAAAATGTCACTGACTGGTTTGCTTGGTAATTGTACTATATAGTTCTGATCCCATCCGTTTCGTTGCGCACTTGGCAACTGACCGTTGGTGTCCAGCGTGATGAAATCGGTTGCGAGATGACGCACAGAAGTGCTGAAAAAATGGTATCTTAAGCAAGTTTATTCGTGTTTTCAGGTTACGATAATTAAGCGGAAATTTGGTAGAGAACTTTGTAGAAACTTCTTAGACTTAGTAAATCAGGAATGCTTGGACAAATGATGGTAAATATATTCCGTTCCGATTAATGAAAATCGTACTCTGGAGCTGAGATGATGAATGTGAAGCCGAAATAGCATGTGGGTGGACTCTTGAGGTAATTGCAGTTGTAGCCAGACGGACATACGCACGTCCAACCATTGGGCAGTGCTGATTGCGGGTTGGAATAGCCTCGAAGTTGGAACTGGATCGTCACTCCATTGTTGCTCTCCGCGTTGTTCTGAAAAATTCCACTGTTTTGAAACCAACCTTGCACTTCCATAGCATTTTCAGAATGTAGTGCAGTGAGCGTCGTTGGTGAACGCTGAAATTCGCCATGTGCCACAACATTTCTGCGTGAGCAATGAGTCGGTAAGGAAGCCTATCTATGAGGAATCCCATCACCACTTCAATGAACAGAGTGTTTTTCGACAATAGACGACAGTTTTTCGATCAATCGATTTACGGGATTGAGAATATTACTGAACCAAAGAACAAATTCAGCTCTATAGCTCTTGGGGTATGGTATTCATACTACTATTTACAATGTGTTACGATGATTCATCGTACAAGCACATTGCTGTCAACGTTTGAGACTGTATAGCAGTTTACGTTGGGTCCATTTTGGTACTATTCATGCCACGTCTTCTATACAACAACCATAAGTCATTACAGTGGTTGGAAATGAAATAATATTGATTAGCATCAACTGGCCAATCAACTCGTTCAAAAAACTATCTTGTGTACATTTATTTGGACAGAATGAAAGCTGTTCCCGAACAACGTCCACCAGTTAAACAAACTACCGATTGATTACAAGAAGTTTGGATGAAAAGCTATGTGTGACGAAGATAGTGCGCATGGAATTCAAAACGTATGGTAAGAAATGCCCACCAATGTATATCGCACTAAGCGAAATCAAAACGAAATTCACTGTAGAGGAAAATATAAGTGAAGCAACAAGTCATCGGTGAGTTATCAGCAGAGAAGATTTGAACTCAAAACTTGATTACACCTCTGCAAAAAGTTTAATGAAGAAGAAACGAAAAAAAGGGTTGGAGAAGCTCTTACGTTCAAAGAGATGTTGTACGGAGTGAGAATTTGCTTGACGACACCTCTAGACATGCCATGGTCAGCAGGATACGATGGATTGGCTCCATTTGGTATATTCTGGCCAAAATTATACTGTGACAGGACAAATGGTACTATCCACACTAATCGAAGAATCATCCTACAACAAACAATAAGTTTTCGGAGTTTTCATGGAAGATGAGGAAAACGAAGAAAGACAATCTTTGTTTGATATGCAAACAAAAGAAATTTAACCACAACGATGCTAAGATATTTGCAAAACTCCGGACCGCAGGTGTCTGCGATGGGGAACGAACGCGTTATTACCCTTTCCTGGGGCTGACGGGTTCACCACCACGCCATTCAGGTCCTTCGTTTCGCCTGTCTCTCAGCTAAAGAAAAAAAAAAGAAAAAAAGAAATTTACTTATGAAGGCCATTAGTGTAAAATGACTACAAGTTAAAAACAAAATCCATACTTATATCTCTTTACGGCGAAAACTTCAGTTATCTAGCTTAGTTTCTTTATCTCTTTACGTCAGAAAACGCTGTGAAAACAAGAGTGATCTAGAATAGGAGGAGAGAGATATGGGAGAAGAGGCGGAGAGTGAGGAAGAAATAGAAAGGGAGAGAAAGTAGCATATCAACATTGACAAAGAGAAGCTGAAGAAAATAAAAATCCAGGACCGTCAAGAATTACTATTTAAAAGACTATTTGGATTATTAAGTAAGTAGTTAAATACTACAAAAAAGAGTGCGAATGGTGGAGAGAGAAATCGGGACTGAGGAAGAAAAAGAAAAAGGACGAAACTGGCATTCGAACACTACGAAAGAGAGGCCGAAGAAAATAAAAACTGGAGACCTTTAAGAATTATTATTTAGAACGCTATATGGATCATTGAGTAAGGTATTGCAAAAAGCAAAATTACGAGACAAAATGGAACGAAGGAGACTCTTTTTCTAGTTGTTAGATTAGATTAGAAAGTGTAAGGAACAGAGGCAAAGAAGAAGTTAAATGACTTAATTTATGAATGAGATCCATTTAGTTGGTCTACTACAATTTTCTTCCCGGATTGCCCCATTACATGAAAAAAGGCTCCCAAGGAAATAACATTAAAGGACAGGCGTACGAAATAATCGCAGTGCTAAAACGGGAAGAAAAACACGAAACTTCTATGGTAGGAAGGTGAGCTTTGATGTGAAAAACGGGAGAATGCTCACTGATAAGGTAACGGATGCGATCGATAAATCGATATTGCGATTCAAATGAATCTCTACCGATTAGACCGAAAACTATATAAGGGGTTTTTCTGCGTTTTTAAATGTTTATTGTTTGAATTGAATTTGAAAGTCGATGAAGTTAACTGAAAAAAATGAGCGATTCGGCTAGACAAAAAATGCAACGGAATTTCACAATGTCCATACCGGAGCTGGTTGACACGAAATTTTTTCAAACACGTGTAGTTTTCTGCAAGACTCTGGGCTGCAGGTGTCTATGGTGACGAACGAACGCGCTATTGTCCCTTCCGGGGAGTAACGCGTTCACCACCACACCATGCGGGTCCTTCGTTTCGCATGTGTCTCAGCTAGTTCTATCGATCTTTCGCCATCAGCAATTACCCGTCACCGGAATTGATTTGGAGAGCCCACATCGGCATTGAACCCAGTTAAGCCGAGGCTGTAGTTCAAATCACAATGTTTTACTTTCTATTTTCTGCGCACTACAATTTTCACGGCGGGGTACTAAGCGAAATACAACCACAATGTTGCTGAGATGTTTGCAAAACTGCGAGGGTGATTGTTGATGGCGCTGATCGATAGAACTAGCTGAGAGACATGCGAAACGAAGGACCCGCATGGTGTGGTGGTGAACGCGTTACTCCCCGGAAAGGACAGTAGCGCGTTCGTTCCCCACCATAGACACCTGCGGTCCAGAGTTTCGCAAATATCTCAGCAACATTGTAGTTGTATTTCACTTAATAATGAGAGACAATATTTCAGTTGACACTCGAACCGAAAAAATCGCAAGTTTCTCTGGGCCACTTTTTTGGTTCTAAAATCGAGTTTTTGAAGCATTTTCCTTCACAAGTAATGATGAGTTTCTCTGTAATCTCGTGATTCTCGGATGGTTTCTGTCCTTCCTTATCATCAACTCAAGGAATAAGCAAAAACTCTTGTGTGAAAACAACCAAAAATAACCATGGATCTATTGAGCTCTATCATACTACGGTTAGGGTGCGTGTGGCGCAGCAGTCAGACGCGCCGTGCAACATACACGTGGAATCGATCCTTGCGCCCATGGCCCACCAAGCCTTCCATCCCTGGAGTCCGCAATTGGTGCCATAGGATAGCAGCACTGGCTCGATACATTGGTACGCCACTGTGAGTCATTCTAAAGGCCAGATATGCATTCAATCATCTACGAATGTTGCTTGATGAAGTCGAATGCATGGCGAGTCCCTCAAGGACTGATCAACGCCGAGAGTTTTATCCTTCTTTCCTACTGCGCTCTATGGTCTCTGACCATCACTGAAACGTTGAAACAATACAAAAGCAATAATTAAGGTAAGGGTTTGAAAGCAATAGTCAGGATATTATTTACCTCGTGAAACAAATATAAATCTACGAAAATTCATGAAATGGTAGAATATTTGGAATCGAGTAAAATGGTTTTCAATTAGAAGAGTTGACAAACTATCAAACATCCGGTCAGTTTCTACTTTTAAGGGAGCACAGCCTGATATGTTAACAAGGCATTGATAGAGGCTGGGCGGAACGAAGTCTGCAAGCATGCATCGCCACGCCAGCAGCCAGACCCTTGCGACTGGCTGAACATTCCTGAACACGGAGGCGGACCATTCATTGATGGAAATTAATATCGAGGATATATATATGTACATGCCACGTACGTAGTCCACGTCTCTGGGGCAGTGGTTGTAGACACTCTGCGATCCAGTCGAAGTCACAGGTTCAGTTCTTTCTCTTGGGCAAATAGAGCCCTACATCCTTTCGGAATCAGGAAATAGACTTCCGGAAGTTATCAAAGGCTCGAGCGGGCATCACCGAATTCTCTGTTCGTAATTATTCGCTGTGTGCATCACAACGGCTGAGTTGAATCGTCTCCATAGATTGAGTATCACATTTTTCGAATCGAAAGATTTCATGTGTGGGTTTAGGTGGAAATGTGACCACTGACAGTTTTCAATGTCTAATCAGTACAGTTGATTACGTACCAGAATATAGACAGTGTTGTACCGAAATGCCGCAATGCTTAAGAAAAGGACGAACTCAACTTCTAGACGTATGGCCTTTCTCATGGTTCAGATAGTTCCAAGCGGCTGGGTAAACCTAGAGACCATTAACCCATCAGCATACACCCTACGAAAGATTTCATTGGATTTCAGCGGTTCGAGGTTTAAGAGATGATTGTTATGTCGTACTACATCACTCGATTTTACCAATGACATATTTAGAAGCAGATGAAAGAAAAATAAATTGGTTTTGATGTCGACAACGAAAGTGGAACACACGTGTGCTGAGTCGTTCGGTCAGAGCTTTTTTTGTGGTAGCGTCAACAAAAACGCGTCGACGATAAGTTTCGATAAGAGTGTGTGGTATCCTTGAAGACGTCGTTAATCACAAGGCGTCCAATACCTACATTTAGTAGGCCATAATACTGGATGTCATGTGGAAGATTTTAGTGTGCGGAGCGTTTTTGAAGTTGGTGTTCTCTTCGATCAGAGGTCGCTTACTCGCAATTATGTCACGGCGCCAAGTACGCGATTACTTTGACACTATCAAAGCTTTGCTAACATGAAATGGAAATAATAAAGACGAATAAGAAACTAATCGACAAAAAAGTTTATATAGTAGTATTAATAAAAATGAAGGTTAAAGCTGTTGGCGTTGATCAATCCCTGAGGGATGCGTCATGCATTCGACTTCATCAAGCATCGTTTGGAGGTGACTGAATGCATATCTGGCTTTTACAAATGGCTCGCGGTAGCCTGCCGATGTATCGAGCTATCCCCCTAGGCAAGTCTGGTACCAATTTACCGACCTCAGGCGGATGGAAGGCTCGGTGGGCAAGGGGCGCGGGTATCGATTGTGCTGCACAGCGCCTCCGACCACTGCGCCACACGCACCCTTCATATAGTAGTATAGCAGGTGATAAATGTTATAAATTAGATGTCAGCAACTAAAACCACAATCATTGTCAGTAATTTATCGCTTTATGAAAAAGGGTCAAAACTACAAAGAACGGATTTAAATGAAGGATGAGACAAGCAAGTAAGTCCAATGCTTTTTAATGTACTCTTTTAAAGCTGATCCATGGTTATTTCAAGTGAATAAACATGACCAATAGAGCAAGAATAATGATCTAAATGTTCTTTTCCATGGTAACCGCATATTTGAAAATAGTCCAAAATAAAATAGCAAATTCAGCAACCTTTGGCAACCTTCTGTAGAAATGAGATAAATTATTAGACCTATCAACATGTTCACATTATATTCATTTCACTTACTGCAAGATTTTTGAGGGTGCAAGCATTTTTCACTTCCAGGAGGGGTGAATGGCTGAGTGAATATCTATTGGAGGCTGACCTACTCTGAACGCTTCGCTAAACAATTGGCGCCAGGATAATTAACTTCACTTTGCATAAGCCAAGGTTGCTAAAGACCTAACAGAGGATTTGCACTCGGCAACGAGATTTCAAGGGAGTTCAACCCACCCACTGGACATAGCATCCGATATCCTGAAAAATCGAGCGGTAGACGATTGCAATTCCCAGTTCTATTGGGATTTTTTGGATTTTTGAAACAGGGATTTCTTTCCAGATATAGCGCATGCCATCCATTTACGTTGTATGGGGGTGATGGACCATTTGATTTTTGTAATCTGAATAATCTTTTGAACAAAGGAGATATCCGGAAAAATCATGAGAACTTGTTAAATAAAATCCGTTCCAACGTGTGGAAATTTAGGCTTTCGGTATTGAGGCAATGAGGCAAAAACAAACACATATTATGTTACTTTTTTCTGGGCACCGAATTGGTAATGGATTACGTAATGTGTGAAAAATCGGAAGCTGCTGGTGTGAAACTCTTCGACTGCTTGTTTATTTTGCTTCATTAGTAGCCTCACCAGGTGAATAGAACAAATTCCGACTGGGCACCAAATCTGTGAGGAAGTTGCCATCCTGCTGGTGGGCCCTCTATACAAGGCTGTTTACCAAAGTTGAAACACTGTCTTTTTTACATAACCTCTATGTTTTAGCGGAATCCATGTTCTTCATGGAAATCAAGGCATCTGAGTGGATGTTCCGCCTTCTGCACATGAAAATAATAGTTGTCGCGATATTCGGGCAAGCACTTGAGAATGTGTGGTGTTGTCGTAGTGTTTGTGTTCGAAAGCGGGGAAAAGAGCAGAATCAAGCAAATCAGACGGCTCCCGCTTTGACCGGTTCGACAGATAAACACGAACGTCCATCGTGTAACTGCTGCTTCTACCCACTTAAGAACACTTGGGGAATGGTCATCGACTGCGCTATAAAAAATCCCCTATATATAATCAACTCTCTAGAAGAATGGTCTCAGCTTCAGACGAAAGCAGAACAGTGCGTGAACAAAATGTGAAGTTATGATGAGTAAAAAATTATTAGTGTTAGTGCCCTCAGCTTATTCTTAGAGAGTATGGCTAGAGTACGGCTCATTCGAGAGTGATCCTCCACTGAGGAAGATCCAGCTCGATGAGCGAAAAAGGCGCCACCTCAAGAACACGAACAACTGTACCATCGACTCGGATCATCGTCTCTGATGAAGAGGAAACCCGTCGTAACGTTAGTGGAACAAATGTCTTTATCATCCTCTTGTAAGCTCAACATTATAAACACATGTTGATTATGTTAATTATTCTACTACCGAGGTTAAATGACGGTAAGCTTCAAAATTGTTCAAAGAGTTTCAATATGTAAGCTGAAATCGAGTTCTATGGCTGCGGTCAAGACTCGACGGAAAACCCAATGTTGGATTTGATTTGTTGGAGTTCTTCTGAGATTTTGACCCATACCATTTCAAGCCGTGATATGTCTGCCTGGTCATCCCACCAGAGGTTCATCATACGATCGTTGCTAGGTACAAGTGAAAAGTGGACCACGCAGTATCATCGAATCAGTTGCTTTAAGTAAACTAAACTGTTTTTGGGCGTTTGACATCAAGATGAAAAAAAATAAACACAGGAGAATCAAATTCGACGAGTTCTTTTTGCCCTATTCTAGATTTCCCTGCCGCGCTCACCATGCTTCTTATCTTGGTTTTTCTTTGCTGAAGGTCTTCACTATAGATGACGTCAGCTAAATTTTCGTGACTCACCGCCTACGAAAGCTAGAAAAGGGAAGTTTTACCCAAAAGAACGAATTACTAAAGGGTTCTTTTTGAAACAAAGAAATTACGTCTTAGCAATGACTCAGCTGTCCAATCTTGATTAGCATCACGGCGTTTGCTACATAATTCAGTGCTTTCATGTTAGTCATTTGCCAAGGTTTCACTGTACTACTCATTAGAGAAGGATAAAAAGAATAAAGCTGTTGGCGTTGATCAATCCGTGAGGAATGCGCCATGCATTCGACTTCATTAAACATCGTTTGGAGATGATCGAATGCATATCTGGCCTTTACAATGATCCTCGGTGGTCCTCCGATGTATCGAGCCAGTTCTGCTATCCTCCAAGACAAGTCTGGTACCAATTTGCCGACTCCGGAGAGATGAAAGGCTTGGTGGCCCATGATCGCCGCGATCGATCCCACGTGCATGTTGCAGGGCGCCTCCGACCACTGCGCCACATGCGCCCTTGCTGTTCATTATAGAAATATGAAATTGATCAGAATGACGAAGGTGTATGATTCAGGCCATAAATGCGTTTCAAATGGTGCAGTACTACAGTTGGTGAGGTGAGTCATCGTCAGGGTGAAGATGGTCCTCTAGCGAAAGATAGTAAGCGTGACACAAAAGGCAGAGGAAAGCTCTAAATCATTTACGTCAGTGTGCTGAATAGGTAAGATTTCGAAAAATCGAGCTGCATTGCGACTTCTTGAAAGCGAAGTGTTCCACTGGCGAATCTTCTCAGAATCGTACCTAACCAACGGCTTGAGCAGTGTGTCAGCTTAGAGACTAAGGACATAAAACAATCAAAACGATTCCCTATCTAAGCGAATTATGAGCAGTCATTAATGTGAAGAAAAACAAACAAATTTTAAAGAAAAACAGTAGAAAAAAGATATACTTTCGAAAAATTGCTGAATCGCGAATAATTTTCACTTGATCAATATGAGTAAGATGATCGGTCGGGTTAGAATTCAATTGGAGGCCTTCATATGCTGATCAAATGATCTTCGGAATTAGGTAAACGTAGTATGGCTATAGTAATTGAAACTTCGATAAGTCATACGATGTAGTGTGGGCGGAGAAGATGCAGTCATGCTGGAGTTCCTTCCCAACAAGATGACTAAGAAACAGGTTCTGGTCGGGGATTGCACACATTTTCGTGTTCGTAACGTTCTGTTACCCTTGCATTAACACCATCTGTCTTCATTGAATTTTCAAGAACTCTCTTCATTATCTTCTCTCAAAAAGGGTTTTCACATTATGGTCAAAATCGCCCACTTAGCTCATCGTGTATAATAATGTGCTTTATGGATTTTCCTCTTGCAAATCATTAAAAGAGGATAAGGAGAAAAAAGCGTTTGGCTGAGGGATGCGTCAGGCATTCAACTTGATCAGGCGTCACAGAGATGATCGTATGCATATCTGGCCTATACAGTGACTTGCGGGGGATTCCCACTGATGTATCAGATCGGCAACGCTATCCTCACAGACAAGTCTGGCACAAATTTGGTTCCACATCGGAAGCACGCATTGTTCGATATGCTCGTAGAATGGTACTGAACCAACGACCGTTTGTGTAATGCACGGCCTTTCTTACCAATCCGTTACACGAGGACAAATTGTAAAATATATACAAATGTCTAACAACGAATAGGGCAAAGTAAACTGTTGGAAAGGACCGTTTCTCTAATCAGACTAAAGACAATGGATGAGAAGAGTACGAAGTGGATTCAGCTTTGAGTATAATTAAAGCCTGTATTACTGCACTTTATCCCTACTGGTTATAGTCAAAAAGTGTCACGGACGTACTGGATGCATGAGTGGTACGGTTCGATAAAAATAAATTGAAAATGTTGGGTCACAAACAAATGAGAAAGGCACGTTATTCGTTAGCAGCCGACGCTGAAGGTGTTCTGCCTAAAAATATTTGGTCGTTGTGCAGGCATTTTCGTGCCGGATCTGTTTGCACATCGAGGGATACCGGCACAGAACTCACCAACAGCCACCCAACGCAGTGTCCTTGGTAAGCCGTTGTGTTCAATTTCACCTTTCCCTTCCGACATCCACTTGCCAAAGTGAAATATGTCTGTAGAAAAGCAGTAGAACAGCAATATGACATAGTTTTATAACGTTTATATATTTCTAGATACTTCCTTGCATACATCATCTCAACCCTTCGTACCACAAAAATAACAAGCTTTCATTGAGAAATGATTCCTCAGTCTCTCAAGTGTTTTTTGCTCGTTTGTTTGTCTAAGAGCAAGCTACTTCATATCTGGAATCTGAAAAAAGTGGAAAAATCACGGCCGAATTGAACTTGAGCCACTCTTGGACTTGTGGACGAGGCACTAACTGAGAGAAAAGACATACAGAGATTCAATGACTGAAGAGTGGGTAGTAGATAAACAAGTTACATGCGACAGCTTATATATGTATCTTTACAAAACAAATTAACAAAGGACGAATAAGGAACTGCAAAATAACGGTCTTCTTCCACATGCTCTTTAAGTGGATTTTAATGCTTGTGCGTTGAGCCAGGTTGTGAAGATGAAGCTTTTCCGTCCTACCTTCCTCATATCCACTAATGCAAGCAAAATATTTACATAGTGTCGCTTTTCATTCGCAGGAAATATATCCGGCTGCAGAACAACAGAGGAAAATTGGTGGCAGGCGTCTAACGAGTGCGAGGACGCCTTTCTACACTAATAAGCCTAGTAATTTTTCGTGAATTGGTAAACAAACTGTTTACCTTCCATTAGTCGCCATTCTAGGAGCCGGGACTATAAACCCAATAACTCACGCTATGAATGACGCGAAAACAGATATTGTCAAGATCTCTGAACCAGACCATATAACGGCACATTAGGAAGCGGTGTGCACTAGAAAGTGTTGAAAAAAGCTGAAGTTCCTTCCACCCACGCACTTCCACGACTAAAATCAGGCTACTTCGCATCGAAGTAATATATCACACTTCAGAACACTTTTCCTTAGGAGTGTCGAAGTTCCCTTTGTGCAGCATAGTACGAAACGATGGCTCAAATAAGGGAAATAGGTCCGATGATTTCGAAAAGAAGCCATGAAACGAGCTAGGAATTATGACATTTATGACCACAACGATGCTGAGATATTTGTAAAACCTCGATCCGCAGGTGTCTACGGTGGGGATCGAACACACTGTTACCCTTTTCATGGGTTAATACGTTCTTCACTACGCTGTGGAGATGCGACGAAGCGTTTCGCCTTTCTATTAGCCGTGTTTCTATAGGTGCCATCAGCCATCATGCTCCAACGGGATTGAGTCCCAGGAAAGTGTAGTAGCGCGTTCGCTCCCCACCGCCGATACCTGCAGTACGGAGTTTTGCAAATAACGCAAATAACTCAGAATCACAACGTTGCTGAGATATTTGCAAAACTCTGGACTGCAGGTGTTATGGTGGGAAACGAACACGTTATTGTCCTTTCCGGGGAGTAACGCGTTCGCCACCACACCATGCGGATCCTTCGTTTCGCCTCTCTCTCAGCTAGTTCTATCGATCTTTCGCCATCAGCAATCACCCGTCACCGGAATTGATCTGGAAAGCCCACATCGGCATTGAACCCAGTTAAGCCGAGGCTGTAGTTCAAATCATAATGTTTCACTTTTTATTTTCTGCGTACTACAAATTTCACGGCAAGGTACTAAGCGAAATACAACCACAATGTTGCTGAGATGTTTGGAAAACTGCGAGGGTGATTGTTGATGGTGCTGATCGATAGAACTAGCTGAGAGAGAGGCAAAACGAAGCACTCGCATGGTGTAGTGGTGGAGGCGTTACTCCCTGGAAAGGACAATAGTGCGCTCGTTCCTCACCATAGACACCTGCGGTCGAGAGTTTTGCAAGTATCTAAGCAAAGTTGTGGTTGTATTTCGCTTAGTACCCTGCCGTGAAAATTGTAGTGGGCCGAAAATAAAAGGTAAAGCATGGTTATCTCAGGATCGTTGTGGTTATATCTCATATTACACCTTTCCGTGAAAAAAGAATAGACAGTAAATAAAAATGTAACTGTATTATGACAATTATTTTGCAGCTGCAATACTCCAGTGATCCTTGTGATTCTTCTAGTACCATGCATATGAAAATGCCATAGAATAATATACTCTGATGAAATATTTATTCGATCACAACGATGGGTAAAAAGTAAAGTATGTGGTTTTTAGACTCACTGGGGCTTTTTCTAACATTTTGTTTTGAGGCAGTCGCACAGTTACGAAG